TGAAGCCTAAATAAAGTCATCAGAAGAAGAGAAGGTACTAAAGATTAGAGCAGAAATAAATAATAAGGAAACTAAAAAAAAAACCAAAAACCAAAACAAAAACAAAAAACAAAACCCAAAAAAAACCACCCTCCAACACACAATAGAACAGATAAATGAAACCAGGAGCTGGTTCTTTGAAAAAAAAATTGATAAACCCCAGTCAGACTTATCAAAGAGAAAATAGAAAACACCCTAATAAATAAAATCGCAAATGAGAAAGGGAAAATAGAAACTGACACCACAGAAATATAAATAATTATAAGAGAATATTATGAAAAACTATACACCCACAAACTGGACACCCTGGAAGAAACAGATAAATTGCTAAAAACATATAAACTACCAAAACTGAAAAGAGAAAAAGAGAAAACTTGAGTGGTCCAAAAACCAGCAAAGGAACTGAGTCGGTAATCAAAAATCTCCCAATAAATGAAAGTCCAGGGCCAGATGGCTTCCCAGTGGAATTCTACCAAACACTTAAAAGAGATTTAGTATTTATTCTTCTCAAATCATTCCAGGAACTAGAAATAGAAAGAAAACTTTCAAATTCATTCTATAAGGCCAGCATTACACTGATTCCAATACCAGACTAAGACTCCACTCCAGCCAATATCCCTGATGAACACAGATTGAAAAACAATTCTCAACAAAATACTAGCAAATCGAATCCAACAGTACATTGAAAGAATCATTCACTACGATCAAGTGGGATTAATTCCTGTGCTGCAAGGGTAATTCAATATTTTTTAATCAATCAACATGATACACCACATTTAAAAAAAGGTAAGAATCTGTTCAATAGTTGCAGAAGAAGCATTTAACAAATGCTAAAAACCCTCAAAAAAGTAAGGATAGAGGGAACATACTTCAACATAATAAAGACCACATATGAAAAACCCACAGCTAATACCTTCCTGAATGGGGAAAACAGTTTTTTCTCTATGGTCAGGGACAAGACAGGGATGTCCACTCTCATCACCGTTATTCAACAGAATACTGGAAGTCTCAGTCTCAGCAGACAGCAAAAAGAAATAAAAGCTATCCAAATAAGCAAGAAGGAAGTCAAATTTTCACTATTTGCAGATGACATGATACTATATACATAGAAAACCCAAAGATTCCACCAAAAAATTGTTAGAAATGATACACGAATTCAGTAAAGTCACAGGATAGAAAATCAACAAAGAGAAATCTGTTGCATTTCTATACACCAATTATGAAGCAGCAGAAAGAGAAATCAAGGAATCAATCCAATTTACAATATCACCAAAAACCATAGTTATCTAGGAATGAACATAACCAAAGAGGTAAAAGATCTGTACTCTGAAAACTATGCAACATTTATGAGAGCAACTGAAGATAACACAAAGAAATGGAAAAACATTCCATGCTCATGGATTGGAAGAACAAATTAAATGTTAAAATATCTGTATCATCTAAAGCAATCTACACATTTACTGCAGTCCCTATAAAAATACCAAAAGTATTTTTCACAGAGTTACAACAAAGAATCTTCAAATTTGTATTGGAACTACAAAAGACCCCGAATAGCTAAAGCAATCTTGAAAAAGAAAAGCAAAGCTGGAGCAATCACAAATGCAGTCTTCAAATTATATTACAAAGCTGTAGTGATCAATAGAGTATGGCAATGGCACAAAAACAGACACATAAATCAATAGAACATAATAGAAAACCCAGAAATGAACCCAAAACTATATGGTCAACTAATCTTCAACAAAGCAGGAGCGAATATCCAATGGAAAAAAGAGTATCTTTAACAACTAGTACTGGGGAAACTGAATAGCAGTATACAAAAGAATGAACCTGGACCATTTTCTTACAACATACAGAAAAATAAATTCAAAATGGATTAAAGACCTAATCGTGAGACAGGAAACCATTAAAACCTGAAGAAGAACAGAGGCAGTAACCTCCTTGACATTGGCTACAGTAACTTCTTACTAGATGTCTCCTGAGGTAAGGGAAACAAAAGCAAAAATAAACTACTGAGACTTCCTCAAAATAAAAATCTTCTGCACAGCAAAGGAAACAATCAAGAAAACTAAAAGGCAACCTTCAGAATGGGAGAAGATATTTGCAAATGACATATCTGAGGAAGGATTAGTATTCAAAATTTTTAAAGAACTTATCAAACTCAACACCCTAAAAACAAAGAATTCTGCTAAAACGTGGGAAGACACAAATAAACATGTTTACAAAGAAGACACACAGATGGCCAAGAGATATAGAAAGATGCTCAACATCACTCACTCATCATCAGGGAAATATAAATCAAAACCACAATGAGGTATTACCTCATACCTGTCAGAATGACTAAAATTAACAATATAGGAAACAAGAGCTGTTGGTGAGGATGCGAAGGGAAACCCTCTTACACTGTTTTTGGAAATGCAAACTGGTGCAGCCACCCTACAAAGTAGTATGTGGGTTCCTCACAAAGTTAAAAATCAAACTACCCTAAGACCCAGCAATTGCACTACTATGTATCTACCCAAAGGAAAGAAATTCAAATGGATACAGGAACCCTAATGTTTACACTAGAATTATCAAGGACAACCAATTTATGGAAAGGGCCCAAGTGTCCATCAACTAATGAATGAAGAAGATGTGGTACATATATATATACCATAGAATATTACTCAGCCATCAAAAAGAATGAAATCCTGCCATTGGTAATGTCATGGATGGAGCTAGAGACTATTATAAGGGAAATAAGTCCGTCAGATAAAGACAAACACCATGGGGTGCCTGGGTGGCTCAGTGGGTTAAAGCCTCTGCCTTTGGCTCAGGTCATGATCCCAGGGTCCTGGGATCCAGACCCACATCAGGCTTTCTGCACGGCGGGGAGCCTGCTTCCCCCTCTCTCTCTGCCTGCCTCTCTGCCTACTTGTGATCTCTGTCTGTCAAATAAATAAATAAAATCTTAAAAAAAAAAGACAAATACCATATGATTTCATCCATGCGTGGAATTTAAGAAACAAGACAAATGAATACAGGCGGGAACAAAAGAGAGACAAACCAAGAAACAGATCAACTATAGAGAACAAACTGATGGTTATTAAAGGGGAGATGGGATGGGTTAAATAGGTGATGGCTATTAAGGAGGCCACTTGTGATGAGCCCTGGGTACTGTATGTGATGAATCAATAAATTCTAATCCTGAAACTAATATTGTACTTTATGTTAACTAGATGGAATTTAAATAAAAACCTGGGGAAAATAAAAAGAAAAAAACACTTATAGCTTAATGAAAATAACAAAAAACAAAAAAATGAATAAAATTCATATTTGACTCCAACAGATCTGGAAGGATCATCTTCATAAGGGCCTAGAATGAATTAAGATCTAAAGCTCCCAGTCTATCTTACAATACTGGCCAAATCCTGAACTTTACATTACAGATCAGTATTTCTTAATGTCATCTATGGAGAACCTGCATCAGATTCATTTGGGGGTGTTCCTCAAAACTGCAAGTTCCCTGACTCTAGTCTAACCACATTATCCAAATTTACTCTCTGAGGGTGAGGCACAGAAATCTCTCTCAAAAACAAAAACAAAAACAGAACAAGTTTACCTGGTGATTCTTTAGGCACATTAAAATTTGAAAACTACCAATGTTTAGTCTTTAGATCCTTAGCCCCCAGCTATTTGTTGCAACTGAAATCTATAGAGGATCATAAAGAAGACTTCCTCTCTTCAGAGTTTATAATAAAAACTACAACAAAGTTAAGGTAAATGTAACCTTTGGTTGAACAGATGCTATTACTATACTAATGTATCCATTTTTCAAAAAAGAAACATGAGCCATGTAAATTCTTCATGTCACTAAGTGTTATAAGGAGAACTGGAATTGGGCCCAAAAAAGGGTAAAAGGATGTAAGTAAATAAACACCAAATAAACAATTCACTATCTGGTTTTCCATTATGGGAACACACTTATGCTTCAAAATGAATGTATAAGGAAAATGACTCTAAGAGGCTAAAAACAGTAATTCCTTCATGAACCTCCACAGAGTTATTCATGACCCCAGTATATGAATATCCTGGGCCCTCAAAGATAGATTTTTCACTATACATTATCATTTTTCACTCATGTGGTACATTTGTATCAAGGTGCTAAAAGTACTTTATAAGCCTTTAAACATTATGTCTATATTATCTTATACTAGAGAATTACTTTGAGTCAAATTCACTGCCTGAGTATTACATGTTCTAAACCTGAATTTTTCTCCAACTCTAGGTGTTATAATTAGTCTATAAGAAATTATGCCATTTAGATCATTATATTAGTAACTAAATAATAAATCCTAGAAAAATACAATTGACATATAAAAATACAGACATAAATAGATAGTGCTTGGCATTTTTTAAAAGAAGGTACATTCTTATTTCAATCCTAAACCAGTCTGCAGGCCCAATATAATTGCATAAGAATTTATCCTTGGCTAACAGGGTAGCATAGTTTATGATAACAATCTACCTAAAAAATCATTAAAATGTTTTCTCTTTGGAGTGACATGCATTATCAGCAGAGATTAATCTGATGAGTCTTTAGGTGAGCTCCATTTTTAAAAATGCAATAACAGAGGGCTTTGTTGTCATCGGATAAAAATCAATTACAGGAGGTAATGCCACAAGGAAAACTAACATCACTCCCCCCCTCCCCCCCCCCCCCCCCCCCCGCAGCTGAAATGATTTGTCTTCCAAGCTCGGATGATCAGAAGCTATAGTTATATTCAGGGAAATTAATTTAGTTTCTATATCCTGAACTCTCTTTTTGTTCTAGAGGATCGAAATACAAATTACTTTTAATCAAGGTTGATATGATATTAATACCAAGGAGGATTTTTGAAGAATCATTTTTTTTAAATTGACTTTAGCATTTTTCACATGTGCTTAGGGTGCAACTATAGGAATGTAACTTATATCATTCTTACTTTCTGGATTCTTTGTCCACAACAAGGCACTGTACTGAATGACGAAGACAATAGATTCCACCAAACACTGCACACATCCTAGGAAGAGAATGGGAAAGTGTGAATTAGGATTCTTGAATTGAAAATTAAGGTAGCACTATTTTCTTTGAAATATCTTCTATTTAATAAGTGATCTTACACAAAAAGAACTTTGATAACTTATTATTTTCTCTGTCATGGTATTAAGAATCACTCACAAGTAAGATTAGTAATATTTTGATGCAGCAAGAGGTATCAGAACTAATAATACAATGTGCAAGCCTAGAATTATGATCAAGCCAAAAGTATCCCCAAACGAAGCTCAGCTATTCCCCCCAAACCACCTAAGACTAGTAGGCTACAAATAGCCTCAAGAGGTAATGTCTGCAACCCTCAATGGAAACGACCACAGAAGGGTGCCTGGGTGACATAGTTGGCTAAGCATCAGACTCCTGATTTTGGCTCAGGTCATGATCTCATGGTTTGGGATTGAACCCAGGGTCAGGCTCTGTGCTTAACAGGAAGTCTGCTTGAGATTCTCTCTCCTCTCCCTCCGCCCCTCCCCCCACTCATGTGCGCGTGCACTCTCTCCCTGTAAAATAAATAAATAAAATAAATAAGTAAACCTAAAAAAAAAAAGTGACCATAGAGAAGTCTTAAGGAGGAAACAAGTAGGGAAGACTCTGGGAGACCCCTAGAAATTTTGCTTACCATAAAAGTAAACAAAAACTACACTGGGAACTGAAAACTAGAGCAGTAAGCACATGAGTTAAAGCTGCGGAAGTTCTAAGGAGTTTGCCTATTTCATGAACCTAAGGGCTTGGGTTTTAATGCTTACATGGGGACAGGAGAGTCCTTAGGATCCAGTAAGGCAGGGAACAGAAAATGAGATATTCTCTCATAATGTCTGGATCCTTAAAGGATTATACTTCAGTGAAAAGATGATGGGGGGATGTGCAGGGAACACACTTAACCACAAGAGAGAGACAAAACAAAAATTGTTTTATCCAAAGCCCTGGGTAGAGAAATATAACTCTATATTTATAACCAGTGGTCTATCCTCACAAGGTCGGGGGTTTGAAATTACACTACATGATCCAAGAAACCCTTAACCAATAAAACACCATGAAGGAAAAGTGGCTCTGGGTCAGTAGTACCTCTGGAGACTTGGTGGAAGCAACTGATAAAACTTTATGGAGTGATACGAGGCCACATGAAAGTGCCACAAATAGGATCCCCTTATGATATGTTTATAATATAAAATCCCTTACGATATGTTTATAATATAAAATTATACAACACATGAAGAAAAATACCTTACTCTGAGTGAGGATTAACAGACACAACAAATGGGGTGGGGCAGCTGAAGTATGGGCATTTTCGTGGGGACTGTACCTTCTCACTGCACAGTTGGCTTAACCTTTCACATTGTATAATGGAATACTATAAGCAATTTAAATGAATGAACTACATCCCCATCTATCAACATGGAGAAATGGCAAAAACATGAAAATTGAGTGATAATGGCAAATTGGGGAAGAATATATTCAGAGTGATATCATTTATAGAAAGTTTCAAAACTTCATATGCAAAATACTACTATATATAATTGATGGATACATATATATGTAGGAAAAGTGCAGAAACATTTAAGGGAATTATAAACACCAAATTCAGGATAGTTTTATCTCTGGAAAGAGGAGGAGTAAAAGTTACACTGGAAGTTTCTTAAAAAAATATACTGAGAGAAAATACGGCAAAATGTTAAGATTTGACAAAACTCTGAATGGTTACATGGTGACCTTTACATTATTGTGTACTTTCTGGAGTGTTCTTGAAATATTTCATAACCAGATTATAGTGAAAAATATAAATGGTAGAGATAAGTAACATTCACTAAGTATGGCATAATACTCCTATTATCTTTCTTAAGTTTACTCATTTGACTGAATATGACCAAGGTAGTTAGGATAGGGGTTAGGTAATAATTCACTCTGGTATAGGACGATACAGAAATCAGGGTTTTTTTTTCCACAGAGAAATTTAGAATATAAGAAATGGTACATTAGAGCAAGCAAGCAAAACTTCATGTGCTCAAAACGCTTAGACTGCAAATTTTACCCAGGGCATCTGCTACAAGATATTCTCCCTTCTTGCTAATCTTGTTCACCAGTCACATACCAAGTTATAGAATGACATTTATTAATTGTTCTGGTATACCTGGTACTATTTGAGACACTGCACTGGACAGATCCTATAGAGGGTTAGAAAAAAAATCATCTATTAGACTGTTTAGATATATTTCCCAGGTGGTATTCTAACCCCTGTTGTTGGTAGGGGAGTACCAATATAGTAATATTGATATGACTGAGATAATCAGCCCAACCTTCACCATCAATTTCCTACTGACACTGAAAGAGGCCCCATTCACATGAAATATTACTGGCCCATTAAAAATAAATAACTTAAATCAGGTTAAGGTCCCAAAATGGACAATCAAGTTAAAAATGTGAATCACACAATCAGCATTCTCATTTGCCTGGGGATATCTTTGTTACATGAGTAGCAGCATCAGTGTTTCCAACTTCCTTGTAAGCAGCTATAGATGAGCTGTAACCAACTGACCTTTAGAGTTTTTCATTTCAGTCATCCATGTTTTTATACACACACACACACACGCACGCATGCACGCACGCACGCACACATACACATCAATCCCCTCCTCGGGAAAAAAACAATTTTTAAGTATCTTCCCACATTCCAAGAAAACCAAGGGGATAAAGTTCAGGATCAGAAGTTGTATACAGTTAAAAAATCATAAAATATTATGCCATCAACTATCATGGTATTATCAAAAGCATGAGAAATCCACTTAACTAAAATTAAATGCATTTTTTTTTACAAAGGCCTCCTTTCATTATCTATTATACTATCTATGAAATACATTGCTACTTTAGTATATAATATTAAGAATCCCTTCATTTGAAAATTAATTTCTTAAGTTTTAGGGTAAATAAGCCCTCTAAAAAATGTATTTAAGCATATAATGCAATAGAGGCATCTATAACCATTTATTTTAGTAAGCCATCAACAAATTACCTGGTTTTCAACACAATTTAACTAATAGTGGACATATACTACATAGAAGAAACACAAGAAAGTAAAGAATGTTTAGGATTGGTTTGTATGAATGTTATTTTTAACTTCAATGCTTTAATATCATGAAATGCAAGTACAAAACATTGTACGAGTATATACTATACTACATGGAGATGGAATAATACATTTGTGTTTTTATCAGAATCTGTATCACCCAGTGCTAGCCACCATACCAAAGGCTTTCCACAGGGGTTTTCCTACTCTTCCTATGAGGTTTTAGCATGAATAAAAAAGCTCACAAATCCTTTCAACTACTGCAGATTTATATTTATCTTAATATTCTTGTTCAGCTGCTTTGGAGAACTGCTAAGAAATACAAAATTACCTTAGCCAAGAGTTTTGAGTGGCTAAAGAATTTTGTTATTTCATGTTAGCCAAGATCTCCCTTTTGTTGGCATTGCAAAGACACTATGCACATCTATGGGGTAAGAAAAAACAGTCTCAATAGCCCTCTTACTGTTTAGGAAGGCAAATTACCATTTCTTGAAAAGTACAGATTATAATAGTTATTGGCTAAGCAGTATTTCATGAAAATCCATTTACTTAACAGCAACAGAAAGCCATAAAACCCCATATGTACTAAAGAAAACAAGTTGGGAAATATTTAAACTAGTGTTTTACCTACCTCTACACTGGTTTAACCACATCAAGTGAGAGTAACATCAGCCAATAAAGAAAAGTGTCCAGAATTCAGCTTCCACAGCATATCTCAGCTATTTCAGCTAAGACTTTTTTTTAAAAGATTTTACTTATTATTTATTTGACAGAGAGATCACAAATAGGCAGAGAGGCAGACAGAGGAGTAGGGGAAAAGCAGGCTCCCTGCTGACCAGAGAACCCGATGCGGGGCTCAATCCCAGGACCCTGAGATCATGACCTGAGCTGAATGAAGGCAGAGGCTTTAACCCACTGAGCCACCCAGACATCCCTCAGCTAAGACTTTTTTTAATGACAAACCAAAAAAACGATGAAAGTAGCATTTACCTTTTGGAAATAAAAAAATGAAAATATGGCTAATTTCATAAAATATTTGAAGCTAATTTTGTTTTTATAAAATGATATTTATCTTTTTTTAAGTTTTAATTATTGTTCTTGTGATTAAGAAATTCATTCAAAGTCATGTCAACCTAAAGGCTGACAAAGGGATAAGCTTTGAGGTATTTAAAATAACATGTTTGGAAAACTGAACCACATTTTTTTTATTGTGTTTTGTTAGTCACCATACAACCACATTTTTAATTGCCAGCATTATGCTTTGGTCTTGGCAGAATCATCTTTGTTTCTTCTTTTTACATCCCAATTATAAACTTTGGCCATACTGACTTCTGTGGTAGTAAACTGATCTCGAAGAAAGTCAAGGTCTTTCTCAAGAAAATCAAGATTCTTCATGGCAGTTGATAAATTCTTGTCCAACAACGCCTGAGCCTCATCATTACCATATTCAAGCATTACATTAGCCCCCAACCATAGACACGCTTTACCAGTAGGAAGAACTAAAGTTTTGCAATACAGGTTATCTGTAAGAATCTGGTCTCCAGTGAACTGCTGGACTCTTTTTTCTTCTGCATCTATTTTAGAATTCCTAAAGTGTGCTTAATTTCAGAAATCTAACCCTTTAGCCTCCTTTTCTTTGGAGCAAGGTTGACTTCCATAAACATACTTCTGGTACTGTTCATCCAGCCTCTTTAGTACTGTATTTGCAGTCTCATTCCTTTGCTGTTTCATGAAGGATCTACATCTTCCACAAACACAGCCTCAGGAATCCCTAGGTGGAGCTGCTGTCCATTCCCTTTGGCCATTTCTCCTAAGCCACAACTGTCCTTTGTGGCCATTATCTTGGGGAAGTGAGTGCACCAATTGTGTGGATGTTATAAAGGAAGAAGTCCAATGACCAGACACTG